TTTCTCTTATCTGCCGCACATTCATGGCTCACGAGATTAATCAGGAGACATGGTCGTATCTCGACGCTAAAGAGGAGGTCACGCGCCAGACTGCACCGTGTATCTTTTACTATGTGTATGTACGGTATGTATGTACAACTACGAAATAACTCATGTAGTAGCTTGCCGCTACTGCGCGAACCGATAGCACGGCGACCTTGTGTAAACATTGACATTGTACGTTGCAAAAGAAAAAAAACAAACACCGATTGCCGCGTGCCGTGTGTCTGGTAAATCATTTTCACTACGAGATACGCGTAACGTGCTGTGAAATGAACGGATCCCTTTTTCTTAAATTCCGAATTAATAAATAAGTTAGCATCGCGCTTTCTAATATGAATACCACGTTATTATTGAATTTCTTGCAAATTTTTACGTTCAGAAAGGACATTTTTAATAAAATACAAATTGTGTTCATAATTTTAATAAGAAAGTAAACATCGGCGCAAACTACATCGATGCGAGAGACTCAATGACACATTTTGATTTTCTGTATAATTTGTGTGAGTAATTTATTATTCACTATTTCATTTATTAAACTGACATAACTAAAATAAAAATTACTTATTGTTGGCACGAAATTATATACATAGTATGATTATTAAGAGGAAATTAACTAAATCTCAAGTAATCTTCTTTCAGAGATTAAAGTCGCAATAACATGAAAATTTTTATTATTTAAATATTTTAAATTAAGTTCTTGGAAAATTATATTAATAAAATTGTCAAACTTATTTAAAATTATTTTAAAATTAATAAAATAACTTTCTTTTATTACAATAGCAGAGCACAGCACTCTATTGTGCAACACCAGAAAGTCATACTTATTGTTAGCAATGCGGATTAATAGCGGAATTAATAATAAGCAATTATTTTATGCGTGTAATAATCATTTCTTTATATATTAATCATTTTTGCTATCATTTAGAAAATATATTTCTAATTTAACGTTAATTTATATTAAAGCTTTGCGACTGTCTTTTAATAGATCTGTGAAAAATCTATCAAATACTTATTAGATATGTAAGATATATGTATCAAATCAAGACTATACACGCGCGCGCGCAATGTGTGTGTGTGTGTCTATACATATATAAATATACGTATATACATATAAATAAAATATTTCACAGATCTATTTTGTGTATATATGTGTGTGTCCGTATGTATGTGCCTTAAAATAACTGGACTGGGACAACTTACTATTAATATTTCATCATGAAAATACGTGTGTGTGCGTGTGTGTGTGTGTGTGTGTATGTGTGATTGCTGTCGATTTATTATGTATATAAGAATATGCGCTCATACACGAGATAAGACATTTCGCAGAGTAAACTCGGTAAAGTGATAAATAATGATAAAGTGATTTTCACAAATGTCTCTAAAAACTTGATGGGCATATTATTTTCTCTCATCACTTTTTTAAAACACTTTATACACAGATAAAATTTTCACGCATTTTAAAATGCTATGAAAATACAATATGCATATATGAATAATATTAGTTGTGAGCAAGTATCATTAAAAATACATTAACTTATTGAGTGTTCCACAATTTATTGTTTATTGATGGGTAAATAATGGAACATAAAAAGCAAAGGAAAAAAAATTTTACAAAAATTAAAATAGAAGAAAATAAAGAATTAAAACTATAACTAGTACAACAGTAATATTTTTTAAGTAAAAAAAGTTTTTATTTAAACTCTTATAATATTTATATTTCGGAAGATAAACGGAAAACTGGAATAAAAATATATATATTATATACAAACACTATTTATATTTACAAATAAAAATAAAAATTAATATCTATAAAATAATGAGGAAAAATTGTTATTTACTTATTTTATTTTCTCTTCTTTATTTTCTTATCCTAAAACTTTTTCAACAAAATTTTGGCCTACAACTTTCTTATATCCTTCCGGAAATAAATATTATATCTGTAAATTGACATAACAAAATATTCTAATTATTTTTAATATGCATATGTATAAGCATAAATAAAAAAATAGAAAATATCTGACAATCATATAACTTAATACAATTTATTGTAATTTATTTAAGAAAAAATGCTAATATATGTGATATTAATTGTTTCTGTTCTTACTTGTCAATTATTTTATGTCAAGTTTATAGAAATTATTCATCTTATTAAATTTATACATTTATTTAAAGCATAAAATAATTAATGTTCTGTATTAATTAACACGCATTTTGTTATTATACAAACTAATCGCTATAATGCACGTAATAGCACATAAGAAGCAAAAAAGGCAACGTTGAAGATTAAAAATCGATCGCGACTAACACAAAAACCTAATAATGAATAACAGATTAGTAAGCAGAATTATAGATTTAAGTATGCGGACTGTACAAACAGCCGTACCATAAATTTGTTTGCTTATAATTTGAAAATTATTATGACCTCGATATCTGTGTATTTATATCAACAGGTTAATCTAGAAAAATGAGAAAAATTAGGAGCTCTTCTACGAGTATAATGCGTTAAAGTTTAAACGATGGGAAATCATTAAACAAATGCGGTAGATTTTGCGGTATTCGGTCAAATTCTCCCCCATTTGAGTTCGTAGCGAAATAATACCATTGCGGAGAGAACGTAAAGTAGGTCCCACGTTAACAAGTAGTCGGTCTCAATTTAACACGCGCCGTAAACGGTCCGGCCGGGCGTGTCAGAAAGGAAACAGTTCCGTCGAAACACAAAAGCGGGGTTCGATCAATGCGTCGCACTTCGCTCGGTAAACCCGTCACGACTCGCTGACGTGACAGCTTTCCGATTTGACAGTCTCTCTTTTTTTTCTTGTAATAGATGGGAGCGAAGGCAATCATCAATTAAGTTTCAAGCGTAAGCTTTAGAGAAAGCTTTGTCCAACAGTAAATGTATCAAATGGTAGTAGAACGTGTAACGTTTCTCGCGAATTGTAATTGTATTCGCACTCTCATGCGGACAGCGTACGCATCAACTGTAGTGTAAATTAGGCAAACCTGAATGTTCTTCCATTTCGAAACTGCAGGGAATTATTATTATTATTGCGTCGTTACTGCGCTTCAGTAATGATGATTAAAGCTGAGTTGTTAAATGTTGTAAAGTTTTCTCGTTTCTAACGACGTTCATTACCTTGGATTTATTATTTGTGGAATTTTTTTATGCAATTTGGAAATGGACAAAATGTGTATTTTGTGGTTATATGAATTCGCGAAATTGCGAGAACTAAATAACAGTTGTTGGAAAGGAAATAGTATGATCGATTGATACAAGTGATTTGTGAGTTGACTATTTGGTACTTCGACTTAAATATTAAATTGAATTTTTGATAATTTGAGTTCTTGATAAATATTAATTGTATGTTGCAAGTAATCACTTATGAGAAATTATGCGATAATTACACGCCAGTAACTCACGCTACGCTGTCATAACTTTCAATAACACTGCTAATGCTGTGTGCATATTATCGATATGCGAATGCCAGTATAAAACATTATCGCGTTATGCTCCTTTTCAGCTAGATACGGAAAGTTTTTGAACACGTACATACACAATGATTTGATTTTGTTTTGTTATAAAATAAAGAATAGCAAGAATTTTGGATACACATCAACGTGTTATCGAATATTACTTTTAATTTAATGATATATATAAATTATATATAAATTTCAAAAAATTTAAATAAAGGCCACTTGGTTTTTTTAATAACAATTTCTGGTTTTGTTAAGTAATTTGAAATTATATTTAAGCTATTCCATTTAGAGAAAACAAAATAATTCTGCCAACTGCAATATGATAACTTTTATATTTAAATGTACGCAACTAGTTTTGCAAAGTTATGAGAATAGAAGTAGTCATGAGAACAAAGTTTTGAGAACTTTCAAAATACAATCACAGTAACAAATATGATGTTGAATATTAACATTATGTCATTGTATGTAATTATTAAAATTATTAAATATTATTGAAATAATTAATATTATTAATTAATATTATTAACATTATTAAATATTATTGAAATAGCAGATTAATTATAATATAATATACATGTAGTTATGTAAGATTTATAAAATATGTTATAATATTATATTCTTTTGGTTTAGACAAACATTTTTTTAATCAATCATTATTGCCATAATAACGTATTTTTTTTGTATTTATAGTAAACTTTTTTAAAAAATAAAATTATCTTACATTAGTTTCTTGTACTTCATATTTATTAGGAATATTTATTAGAAATTAACATTATTATGTTACTTTAATTCAATACAATTTTTTATTGCAACTTCAAAATACATTGTTAAAATGCTATTTCTTTTTACATTTCTAGTTGATGGGATTACTTTTTTTTTTTGAGCATAATATTATACATATCATGCAAATACGACGAAACGAGTACGAAATTTCTTCAACGTATGATTAATAAATCATACAATTTGGTCATAATTATTATCTGCATTTATTACCAGATACAAAATATTATTTATGAGATGTATTTTTAATTTTTTTTTATAACGCGACACACATCGCGATATTTTCGTACTTTTTCCCGGCTTCTAACTGCTTCCGTAGTATTTGGCGATTTCAACGTCGATTCGAAAGAGTCGTCGATGCCGCAACGTCAGTTGCATATAGCAGACATCAATTTGAACTTCGTCAATCTTTCAGCTTTTAATAGATTTTTGTCACGCAATACGTATACAAAGACTTTCCTTGCAGCACGCGTTTATTCGCACACTAGGCGCGAGTTGTGTCCGTCATTGACATTTACGTAATACATTTCACTTCTGTTCCTTCTATTATTACGGTATCACACACCGGTGCGCACCGTCAACCAACACACACCGTATCCGTATATAGTGTCGTCAGTGTTATATCCATGTAACTTTATCTATACTTTTCCAACTATGTACAGTGGCGTGGTAATTGGTGACCTATACTGTACTTGTGTTTGCAGGCTCGCAGCGCCAGCACAAGTAGCTTTAGAAGCCTGAGCCAGGTATATACCAAAGATAATAATCCAGATCTAGTTGAGAGATTAGTCACTAGCTATTTAGCTAGATATAGCCAATCATTTATTACGTACTTACTTATTTTTTTTTAGACACACATATAATGTAGATACCATCGCTCATGCGTAGAGGCGTAGAGCACGCGCATTTCGCTAAAACGCTCGGCATTGGTTCTGCAGACCGTGTACCAACGCGAAGAATCCCGGTAGTTACGTTAGCGCAGCCGACAATCGGATCGCGTCGTCAGAACGAGATCGTGCGAATTCCTTTCCTGCGCGCGTCCTGCTGATTCGAACGTGTACGCAGGGCGGCGAGCGGGACCGATTTGTACGATTCGTCGCTCACGATGCGTCGCGACTCGACGTGTGCAGTTTACAACGAGAGACACAGTACCGCCGAATAGCCTTTAATCTCCTTTGCAGCGCGCCGACCTGCGCTGCGACACACGCTCGCCGATAAACAATATAATCGAAAGCGCGACAGATCGTCGACGGATCTTATTGTCAAACTCGCGCGCGTTTCCACGAATTTCGATTCCTGCGATTCTGCAGTGTACCACACACACTCTATATATACCTACGCCTGACATATACATCTCGTATTTCCGATAACGTTTCCGATAACGACATAAACGGTTCGAGCATAATTCCGATATCATGCACGTCGCTGAACAGCGATGCACAATTCCTTAATTGATTCAGGGGATGCGGGGGGGGAGGGGGGGGGAGAAAGGGGTTCAGAATAAAAGCATAAAGTATGTAATTAAATATTGCGAAGGGGGGGGGGGAGCGCAACGCGTTTCCCTTCCGAGATTTTCGCTGACGACAAATGCGACAAATCGCGCGTGGAAATGCACGTCCCCCGTATATTGTATTTTTCTCCCGTCTCGTTTCCTAGCTCGTTTCCGCAAAAGTTTCCGTGGAAAACGGAACAGTATAAAGTATATACCACACGAGAGACTCGGGATAGTGGACTTAATTAACCGCAATTACAGTAGAAATGCCTCGCGGGGGAGAGGGGGAGGGGGAAAGAAAGAAGGGAAGAAGAAAAAAGGAGAACTCGCGTCGGGAAACTCTATGTCCTCGTTGCGACGCGCGCGCGATGACAGGAGTATGTCGAGACTCATAGCGATCCGCTAATGAGCGCATTTGTGCAACTCGACCTCGTTAAAACGGCGACATTTTTTTTGACACACTTTCGCGTGCTCTTTCTCTCAATTATTCGCTCCTTTTATCCCGATCAACGCTATCCTCGCTCTCTTTCCTAAACGGCTAACGTTTTATCGCGCGCTTGGCATGCTGTGACTCTGGTATTGCGGCATTTTTCTGTGCACGATTACGTAGCGCAGTTTATACACGTCGTTCGTGCACGGACACGCTGCCTTTTGGACGAGATAAAAGTGCGCGTATATCAGAAGGGAGAGCTTAATCGGCACTTGACTGGAGCGGATCGATTTAACCGGTTAAATATATGTGACGTGCAGAGCTTGCACATTTAAAGCCTTCACATCGAAGGGGCTGTAAATGCTGCGAATGCAAAAGTCTCAGGATAATAAACTGTGAACTATAATTTTTACATTTCGAAAGGGCAGAAGTGGATATGCTTTACGCGTAATATATGCGTTTGTGGCAAATATCTTTACGGGCGCTCGTAGTTTTATCGAGCGCTGTAAGCTTAAGCATATATACGTAAGCTTATTTTTACTGTACAAATAATCTCGATATAGCGCGCTTGCAGTTTTTGTTTTCGATGAATGAAAACCAATGTCGAAACACACTGAGGATAATGTTGAATAAAGCATTATCCCCGCAATATACTCGCAATTGTTGCAACTATTTTATCTATGTTGAGCTAAAGTGTTCTTCTTACATACATGAAAAGAACAATTTTGCTGGATCCGCGGATGAGAAAATAATTTTTGTTCGATAATCAAAATAATTTTGTTGGAAAGTCAAAATAATTGTTAGAATATCAAAACGTTTTATAGCAATGCCTATCATTTTTAACTTTCCAACAAATTATTTTGATTATTGAACAAAAATTATTTCCAGATCTGTATTCAGTAAAGTTTTTAGACTTTTCAATTAAATCGTTCTTTCCGTGTATAATCGATATTATTGTGCAACTTGGGTGTTTTTTTTTTTTGTGAAATCGAAGAAAATGGATAATTTATTAAATTGGTAAAAAAAAAAGACATTAAAGGGGAAGTAAATAGGGCATAATGAGCGCAGGAAGTTTAATACGTGCAGAATTAATGTCATTATCGACTGCGAATAAATGACGATCATTTACTCGATTACGTCTATTGTCGTCACGATTGATACATTAACTGGAATTCAACACAGCGCGAAGTTTTGCGTGGACGCTTCTATATCGCAACCCGTAAATACCGTAGGTCAAGGACTGTTTTTCGAAAGAATGAACACGCGGGAAAAATCGTTACCGCTTTTTGTGAGTCCAAACATAAATTACCTCCCCCTTCCTCTTTGGTATCTCTAAAGATTAACTATAAAAGTAAAATGAGAGATAGAAAGAGGGGGGGGGGGAGGGAATGAATAAAGAAAATCTTTGGGATTAATATTATATGATTTAAGCGAGATATTGTAGTGCAGCACCGATTTAACGGTGGTTATTAGGTCGTTAAATTGTTGAAAAACGAATAAAGAAGCCTTCCTATAAATGCATCTGTTCAACAAAAGAAAGCACATGCAGGGACGAATAATTTTTTTAAATCGCTGCTTCTCGCACATTTTAACGTGCGAGGCGACGTAATCGTCTTTTTGACTCTGAAGAATGCTTTAAAAAAAAAAAAATAGAAAAGGCGAGAGAGAATTTTCGAAAGTTAATGCTGCACGATTTAGTACAAAGTTCTCGTCATAACCGCGAAGTCTAATTTACTAAACCGACGTTTTCTGTCGTAACATTCTGTTCGGTTTAACATTCTGTTCGGGGCGCCGCCGTGTCAGAAGAAGATAAAGGTATAAAAAACGCAAGTGGATCGAGGTTGTTTGAAAAGTAATCGCGTTCAACGTGCCACGCGATCGGGCCTCCTTTTTGAAATCTCATTTCGGAGATTGGCATCTCTCGAGAACGATTGCAATTATATAGCAGGGATTTAAAAGGCGTACGCGTTTCTCGCGCAGCTCGACGTAACGATTCCTAAATCTGGCGCACCCCTAATACTTAGCTAAAGATTAATCGTTCGCGTTCGTCACGAGGACAAACGAGAGATTGTCACGGAACGGGTCTCGGGACGGCGCGCGGCGGCGCGGCGCGGCGAAGCGTTCCCTCGTGCTTAACGCCGGGACGTGGTCTAGAATCGAGAATGGGGATCGATGCCTTTGACCACGATGCCCTCGCCTCGCCGCTGCGTTATTTGATTTAATTATTAATCAGCCGGTTCTAGACCTTGCACGGGAAGTGCAGTGACACACCTCAAGGACAAACGCTTCCTCCCCAGGTTTCTACAGCGGAATCGCCTCTGCATATATGACAAATTCAGCAGCGAATATACGTATCATTTGTTCTTGCGATACCTCTCCCGATTAGTCATTCCGTGGCCTGAAATCGCGGTTCGTGCTCGTAAATCTTGCCGCAGGAGACATTATTCAATCTGGAAAATCTGGGGCATCAATGGCTTTTGCAATTTCAACAAGGGCTCGCAGTTATCGGCGCAAATTTGTTTCCTCGAATATCCTTTTGCGAGAGCGCAGTCATAGAGATTTAAAAATTTCCATTTCGTTTCGTTATACATATATATATACGTATAACAATCCACGCGCGCGTATATTCGCCCGCGTAATGTGCGGTTTATTTCGGCTTAATTTTTATCGCTGAAAAACGAATATCTATTGCCATCATCAAAATCCTTGTTCGTCGGAATTTGCAATTAAAACGAGACAGTTGCACGTGAAAAATAACGCGGCGTACGGGAATATTCGGAAGCTCTATGATTTGGAATATATAAATGAAATCGACGAAAGTTCCACACTCGACTGCATTTTTGCAACGGCAATATCATCCCCCCCTCCCTCTCTCCTCACGTTGTTTCTATTTGGTTTATGACGCTTCAGTGTTTCGCAAAGTATAGCGTTTCAAGGGTAGCTACAATCATCCCCAATTATTGATCCTTCGAAAGAGGTTTCCGGGTCTCGCTCGCAAACACTCCGAGGGTAGCTTGAGTGGGTGAAATATTCGAGACGAGAAATAACGTACGATGCATGTGTATACGTGGTCACGCAGCCAAGGAAGACAAAATTAAATCTTGGTGAAATCTTGGTTGGGTAATGTGCGGCAAATATGAAAATATAGAAATATTTATTATTGATATAACATTTTCATTGCAAATTTTTTTCGGTTTAATCGAATCACAGAGAGTGAAAGCTTTAACATATTTATATTTTATTACAATACCTACTTATATATAATTAAACTAATCGCAATCGAAATGTTATCTTTAGATTAAAAGTATGCATTAAAAGTATGAATGCAAAAAAGTATGAATTAAATGTTCAATTATGAAAGTAGTAGTGTAGACTTTTTTTTTCATTAATATATTCGTTTTTTTTTTTGCGAAAGAAAAACTAATGTGTAATTAGCTAATTTCTTCCGGTGACTCAGCTGCACTTTACTTGATGCACGTAAATTTATAAAAAAGGTCACGTCAAGACTGTCACGCATGAAACTAGTAACCGGGTCACTAATAGATTGAGTTAGCGTTTGATCCGTTCGTAATTGAATTATGAAAAAGAATTATTGCCAATATCTTTTTCTTTTTTATTTCTATCAGATTACATTCGATTACATTCAATAGATCATAACATTTGCAACTAGACGGTAATATTTCACAATAGAAATCGTATTTCATAAATAGAAATATATAAGAAACTCCGCATTGTACGTATTCATCCCTCAAAAATATCGCGTATCTTCGTGATACTATGGCGCATAATATTGATAACGTATAAGAAGATGCATTCAACCGCGG